AGGCCGGGAGGGTTGGTGGGCAGGAGCGGGGAGGGAAGAGATGAACTGAAGGACTTGTATGCATGCATATAAGCATAACCAATGGACAAAAGACACTGGGGGGTAGGGGAGGCTGGGGGATTGTTAAGGGCAGGAAAAAAAGGAGACATGTAATACTTTAAGCAATAAAACAATTAAAAAAATAAAATAAAATAAAGGCAAAAAAAATACTTATGCAGATCATGCAGAAACATGAAAAAACAAATGCAATCAGCATATTCAAATGAGAGCCACTCTAAGAATTTTTATCAATTTTTTATCAGACTATGGTGATTAATATCTAAAAAAGGAGAAAAATGTATTTATTTAAAAATAATGCTTGTATTAAAAATATTAGAAATTCCTACTCTGGAATTTTATAAATCATTAAAAACTATTTAAAAATGGTCTTATTTTATGTCACATTCAGTCCCATATTTTCATCATATTACCATATTTCAAGTGCTAGACCCTGGAAATACAGAGACTAATTTAACAAAACAAAGGCTTACAATAAAGGATGGGCCAGACTTCATATATTTAGTGGGGGTGGCAGCACTGTGCAAATCTCCAGTTTACTTTTCCCTTTTAAATGACTGGTGATCTACACTCTATCAACATTCTTCAACACTCTGCAGCTCATTTTGCATTCATGTGGATGGATCATATACCTTTTCTGATCAAACAACTATAATGAAGTCTTTCATAATTTGTTTTTTTCATCTTCTATTACTAACTTACACAAACCATACCATTATTAGTCAAAATGTTCTACTGAGCCCTAGCCAGTTTGGCTCAGTGGATAGAGAGCCGGCCTGCAGACTGAAGGGTCCCGGGTTTGAGTCCAGTCAAGGGTTGCAGGCTTGATCCCCAGTAGGGGCATGCAGGAGGCAGCTTATCAATGATTCTCTCATCATTGATATTTCAATCTCTCATTCCCTCTCACCTCCTCTCTCTGAAATCAATAAAAATATATATATTTTAAAAATGTTCTAATGATACTTTTCAGATGTAACTTGTAATTTTCCAGGAACCCAATAATCTATTTATTTTAGAAATGTCCTACAATATTCGCCTGTGGAACCTTTCAAAGCTCACTAATCTCAAATAGTATCTCTACCAAGACCCAATCACAAATAATGTCTCCCTCACCTAAATTCCTGATTATAATCAAGACACTTACCATAGTTGTGTTAAAACAAACAAAATAATCTACTGGACTGTAAGATCTTTGAGGCTAGAAACCATGTTTCATTCTTTTTATTTTCCAGAGGGAGAGAAGGAGAGAGAGAGAGGGAGACATCGAATCGGTTGCCTCCTATACACACCCAACCAGGATCAAACCCACAATTTGGTGTATGTGCCCTGACCGGAAATCTGATACCTTTTGGTGTATAGGACAACATTAACCAACTGAGCCACACCAGCCAGGGCTATGTATGCATTGATTCTAAAATATTGGTTATCTTAATATATATATATATATGCTATTTTGTTCAAAATTCATGCTCCTTTTTAAAAAATATATTTTTATTGATTTCAGAGTGGGAGAGAGATAGAAACATCGATGAGAGAGAATCATTGATTGGCTGCCTCCTGCACACCCCCTACTGGGGATCGAGCCCGCAACACGTGCATATGCACTTGATCAGAATTGAACCCAGGACCCTACAGTCTGCAGGGCGATTTTCTATCCACTGAGCCAAACCAGCTAGGGCTCATGCTCCTTTTAATAGACAAACCATTGCACTCATCTTGGACTCTTTGGAAGTATCCTATTTATCAAAATGCTCCTGCAATAACATGTAGACTTTTTTTTAAGTTTAAAAACTATACTAGCCCTAGCTGGTTTGGCTCATGGATAGAGCATTGGCCTGTGGACTGAAGGGTCCCAGGTTAGATTCTAGCCAAGGACACATGCCCAGGTGTGGGCTCAATCCCCAGTTGATCCCCAGTCGGAGGGCATGCAAGAGGCAGCCGATCAATGATTCTCTCTCATCATTGATGTTTCTATCTCTCTCTCCCTTCCTCTCTAAAATCAATAAAAATATATTTTAAAAAATAAAAATAAAAACTACACTAAAAAAGGCTGTTAGTCCTTTTTCAGAAATGACTACATTTCAAATTTCTCACCAAAAATCTTTCACCAATTTTGTACTTCATTATCTTGCAAAAAGTCCACTGTCTGTCATCTGCTAGAATTCCCAGTGCTCTGATATATGTCTGAATTCCAACTTATGTCAAATGTTAATTCAGCAAGATTATTTCAGGTTTTAAGGAAATTCTGATCCTTACACAACCTCAAAATGCTTTCGTCATGGGAAAAGACTACATCTTGGCAGTCCTAACTCAGAGGATTGTCATAAGGATCAAATAAGATTGTGTACTTGAAAAATCAATAAAAATTCTACAGCAAAACAAGAATTATCTCAACTCAGAATTTCAAATATTTTTTAAAAAAATATTTACTACAATATAACGCCATTAAACTGAACTATTATGTTATTTAGTTATTGGTAGTTTATAAAGAGCTCAAAAGGGCAAAAAAAAAAAGTGGAAACTGGCAATAAACCAGATCAAAACTAAAAAGCAATCCTAAGTAGACTATTCCTCTTGCAGAAAATCAAATATTTTATTCCTGGAATATTCTCTGTACTGTCCTTCCCCCGCCCCCAACCCTGCCAAAGTAAATGAAAGAATATAAAGCTCCTGGCATGGTTACTACAACTTTTTCTTAAAATTGCCACTGGCTTTCAGTAAGAGTCCTATTTTCCCCCCTTATTTATATTACTATTAATAGTATGAATTCACTAACAATATTTGTTTGTATAGGTTCAAAGCCAAAAGCCTATTATCTGATTTGGTCAGACCTTCCCAGATGATATAATTGTCTCCATCAGAAATGAAAGTAGGGCCCTAACTGATTTGACTCCGTGGATAGAGCTTCAGCCCGCAGGCCCAAGGGTCCCAGGTTCCATTCCGGTCAAGGGCACATGCCCAGGTTGCAGGCTGGATCCCTAGTGGGGGGCACGCAGGAGGCAGCCGATCAGTGATTCTCTCTCATCATTGTTTCCATCTCCTTCTCCCTCTTCATCTCTGAAATCAAAAATATTTTTTTAAAAATGAAAGTAGAGAACTCAGTATTTCTTGAAGGAAAATGATCAAACTAAAAAATTCTAAACATCTATTTAGCAAGTTTAGAGATCCTTGTGGTAAAATTCATCCTCGGTTTAGACGCAGTGGTTCTCAACCTTCCTAATGCCGCGACCCTTCAACACAGTTCCTCATGTTGTGGTGACCCCCAATTTCATTGTTACAAATTGAACATAATTAAAGCATAGTGATCAATCACAAAAACAACATGTAATTATATATGTGTTTTCTGATGGTCTTAGGCGACCCCCAAAGGGGTCGCGACCCACAGGTTGAGAACCGCTGGTTTAGCGCCTATGCTTCTGCCTGGATGTTCACTGCAGGCCCTATTTTCCAGCCTAATACCGATTCTATGAAAATGTAAACCTAAACATACTTAAGTTGAATGTAAAACACCGAGAAGAATCTCACCCAACAGCTCCACTGGCACCCTTTAAATAGCCAAAGAGCGTTTTGTAGCTGGTAATAAGAGTCAAGGACTGGGGAACAATACTGAACACTTAACCCAAACAAAATCTGCAGCTGGACAGGCCGTAAGGAATAAATTCTCAAACAGTATGGTTCAAATACCAGTGGAAGAAAAATTCCAGGGACAATGACACCTAGATTTTCCGATTCACGACAATGAATAACGGGGGGCCTTGGGGCTGCACGAATGGGCCCCAGCACCCCAACTGCGCCGCAAAGGTGAAGCCGGCACCAGGAGCCAGCGCGCCGCGGCTCTCAGCTGCCTGCGCCCACAGCGAGGGCTGCACGCACGAATGGGGAGACCGCGAAGATAGGAGATGAGCCCCCTCTTAGGGACTCGCCTCACCGCCCCCTCCTCCCGCTTCCCAGGGGGGCGCCCCCTGGGGACCCTTCCTCAAATGCACGACTGACTCCCGTCCTCCGCTGACCCCTCACTGGAGCGGCCCCCCAGCGGGGCGGCCCCCAGATCACCCCTGCAACGCACCAAGCTCTGAGAACCGCCGAGGCCTCTCCGCGCCCGCGCGCCCTCCACCCTCCCGCACCCGAAACAGGCCGCTGCAGCGGCCCCGCCCCGGGCGCCCAGCAGCCAGCGCTGAGACCAGGCGCCCGAAGGCCCCGCGCCCCTCCCGGCAGCGACGCCCTCACCTCCAAGGCCTTCACTACGGGCCCCGCCAGCGCGGCCATCGGTCGCCTGCGGCCGCCCCGCCACAGCCCCTTCCTAAGTCCCCTGGCCTCGGAGAGGGGCGGTGTCGGGTCCACCAGGCCGGAAAACCGCTCAGCACCGCAATCCTCGGGATCCCCGCCTCCTGTACTGGCCACTTCCCGCAGCCGCCCGGGCTCCTTCCGGTGGCGCGGCGGCCACCGCAGGCGTCTCGGGCGTCGCGGGAGGGCGTGGGGGCGGGGCTTCGAGGAATGCCCGTCCCGCCCCGGGGCGTGGCCACGGCGCCTCGGGCCCAGGTGAGGAGACTCAGGCCCGCTCTCACCTCCACCTTTGGTAGCGGTACAGGGACAGTGAACCTGCAGAGCACTACGACCATTAGCAGGTCTTGCTTGGTGCATCACAGAGCCCTCAGGTTTCTGACCTTGTGCAAAGAAACCTTAGACCACTCAACTCAACACTGTTTTCCCTCTTCTCCCAACTTCTCAGGACCTCGATTATCTGAAAGTAATTGTATTTCCTTTTCCACATCTGCATAGAACTTCATCTCTCCCATTTTCCCTTAGGCCAAAATCAAGATAACCAAATAAAATATTTATTGAAACCTTAGTATCTGCTTAGTGCCTAGAGCATTGGAAGAGATCTGCCTTCTAAGTTATATAACTGTTGAAATTCATTCAATTGATTGATAAGCAAACAATAGAAATTGTTAAATTATTGTTAAATTGTTAAATCAAAATTATTGTTAAAATTTCCAGTTTCAGTGTGTTACCTCTTTTTTATTTTTTTAAATATATTTTATTGATTTTTTACAGAGAGGACGGGAGAGAGACAGAGAGTTAGAAACATCGATGAGAGAGAAACATCAGCTGCCTCCTACACACCTCCCACAGGGGATGTGCCCGCAACCAAGGTACATGCCCTTGACCAGAATTGAGCTTGGAACCCTTCAATCCACAGGCCAATGTTTTATCCACTGAGCCAAACCAGTTAGGGCTTGTTAGTACTTTTTAAAAATAATTTTTCATGTTCCAATTACACCTGACATACAATATCATATTAGTTTCAGGTGTATACCCTAGTGATTAGACATTATATAACTTACTAAATGATCATCTCCATAAATCTCATACTCATCTGACATCATATATAGTTATTAGACTATTAGAGGCCCAGTGCACAAATTCATGCATGAGTGGGGTCCCTCAGGGTGGCCAGCTTGTGCCCCCAGCCTCACAGCCCCGCAGCCCCGCCTTGCACCCCACCTTGGCCTGGTGCTGCCTCTTCACCTGCTCCACCATCCAGCCACAGTCCTGCTCTCATAAGGGCCCATCCGGGCCAGCAGCACCTCCACTGCCACCCATTGCCAGCACCACATCACTGACACCCACCACGTTCCACACCACCCCCTGGTGGTCAGCACTCATCATAGCGAGCAGTCGAACTCCCAGTCTCCCAGTCCACCTTCCCCCTGCCTCCCCTACCCCTCCCACACATACCCTCACCACCCCCCACCCCCTAGTGTCTTGCGTCCATTGGTTATGCTTATATGCATACATACAAGTCCTTTGGTTGCTCTCTTAATCTAATCTTTCCCCATAATCTGGACCCTTGTTGTATCTGACCTGCCTATTCTTAGCACTGATGAATTCTGAACCAAGCCAGACCCTTGTCCCCAGCAGACACCATGATACTCATATTACCAGGTTTTTACATGTTCTTGGAAGCCCACTTCAAAACCATTTTATCCGTATTGATTCCTTCCTCCAAGGAATTCCTGTATTTCTTACCTGAGACCATAGGTTAAGTGTACACATTAAAACGTTTTTGTAGTTAGTATATTGATGAGAGCCATTTGTTATCACTGCAAAGATCAGAAAATCTAAAACACTTGACTTTAAAAAAAAACCCCACAAAACTCTAAGTCAGGCAGTACTTTGCCACAAGACATCAGGGAAGAAGTGATTTTCTTTATTTTTACAGAAGTGATTTTCCTGATCATTCTTTTATCTCACACACACACATACGCACACGTAGACACGCACATACACAGACAGATTCAGGTCATCTGCAGTTCCCGGCCTCAGTACCACTCCACTGAGCCGCCCCGGACCGCTGCAGATTGGACCGCTCAGGGCCCTCTGAGTGCCAAAGGGCCGATGGTAAATGCGTTAGGCCTTGCGGACCAGATGCTCTCCGTCCCAACGACTCAAGTCTGCCCTTAGTCCAACACAGCTCAGGCAGGGACAATACATAATGTCACTGCTATCCTCCAATGAAACTTTAGTTACAAAGACTGGCTTCACTGGGCAAGAATGGAAGTTTCACAATTTGGAAGGTGCACATGTGCTACCACTCCTCCTTTATTTTCAACATATTTCAAAATATTGCAGTTTTTATGTTACAGGATGTCAGCAACGTAATTTTTATTTAAAAAAAACTAATATCTAAATATTTTGAACTGTAAGCTTAGTGAGAGCTGTGCCAGGCCAGCACAGCCAAGGGTTCAGTGAGCGGTGAAGGATTAAAGACAGAGATTAAGCAATAATAATAAAAAAAAAAATTAAAAAAAAAAGAAAGAAAAGACAGGCAAAGAGAGTAAGCTGGGTTTAGGTGGATCTTCCTGTGCCTGGCTGAGGCCACAGAGAGAGATCCAGGGGCAAGCTGAGCCTTTATTTTATAGTCAGAGGTAAACAAGATAGTGGCCACCATAGTTACAATGTTCTTGTGAGTTTCACTTGTTTTGCCAGCACTTGCTGCACCTCCCACAGCCCATTAGCTACCCAGATAGGATCTAGGGAACCCATAAGGTCAAACTTAATTATGCTAAGAGGGCTGTGCCCTCTAAACTGGGACTTGTTTGTGGCTTTGCCAACAGTCAGTACTAGGCTTAACCCTATAGTGCTCCCTACAGAGAACACTGACTAATTCTGTCTTATTCACAATATTCTCCAGCCCAGCATTGAAGGGCTCGAGTATCTGTTGCTTCCCAAGTAGGGGTGGCAAATATTTGCCCCAAGGTAGATATTTAGCAATATACCTGAGGACTGGAGAAAGATTCAGTCACATGTTCTTTGCATTAACATGACAGGATAGTACAAAACGTCTTTAGTGTCACTGTTGAGAAACCCTAATTTAAACTGAGGCTTTATAATATATTTTTGGTTATAAGTGACAGAAAATTAAAGTATTGTTCCTAATTTGATGAATAAGCTGGGTTTTGTAGGGGACAAGCAAAAAACAATTTTATTCTTTTCATTATTGTCTCTGAAAAATCTCTGAGATTTTTGTCCTAGGACAAAATCTTACACAAAGCCTTTAGCTTTTCCAGTCATTGTTAAGTAATTAAAAAGTCCTGCAGTCATTTTCTAGTAATAAACAAATGTCCTTCCCTCCCTAACACCCCAACATTAAAAAATCTGTCTAGTACAATGTCAAAAATCCCACAATATACAGTTCAAAAATTCTTTGCCATTTCCTCCCTATTGCCCCCACCCCCAAACCTCGCCTTGTTCTACCTTCTCCCTGGCTAGCTTTTCACTTGGCTTGAGATGAAGGACAAGCACCTACCTCCGCACCCCCATTGTGATACCTTGATTTGGATGTGGAGGTATTAGGCACTGAATTTGGGGGCCTCTGCCAAGAATCTCAGTTATCATCGGCTGACTCTTAGGTTAGAGTAAGAGTTTGGATTATTCTAGCTCAGGGTTCTAAAAAATGACATTTCGGTCTGAATAATTCTTTGTTGTGGGTTAGGGTTACCGTGCATAGCCTTTATCCACTACATGCCAATAGCATCTCCTCTCAGTGGAGACCAACAGAAATGTCTTCATACCTTAGCAAATGTCCCCCTGTGGGTAAAGCCCCCCACCCCGCTATTGAGAGTCACCGCTTTAGTTTAGGCTGGTGCTTCTCAAATTTTTTCAGGTTATCAGATTAGATCATTCAGAAAATGATAATATACTAAGAATAACAAACAAGAATGCTTGTAATTAGAAGTTTTCAGTAGGGATCACTATCTGGGCATATCCGAAAACCCATCCCTGAAGCACATCATAGAGCTGAGAGAAACTAGTTAAAAGACTATTGGGGCGGGGGAAGGGGGGACGATAAAGGAGATTTATTGTCTCATGCACTCCAAGGAAGGATAGCTAGAACCAGGGACTTACACATTACTAGGATTCCCTTATGATCACTTCATTGCTCATTTCTTGAAATTGCCATCTTGCAGTTTTCTCCAAGAGCAGAGTTCCTAATTTAAAAACCCTCAAACAATGCATTTATTGTCTTCACCCGGGCCATTCAGCAGGCGGATCAGAGTCACGGAGGAACAGAGAAGCTCCAATGACAATTACGTGGATGGAAGAAATGGAAGTTTCCAAGAGAGAAAATAGACGCCAGGTCAACCTAATATCATAAAAAAATGATACTGGCTAAAAGGTTGCGTAAAAAGATTTCTGCTAGACCAGAGGAGGAAAGATTTTTGAAGCAGATGAAACAACATATTGTCCTCAGAGACAATATGCCAACTCTGGAAATCTGTAAGGTTTCAGTATTACAAGAGCAGAGATTGAGGGCAGGGCGTCGGGGACAGGCTGGACAGAGAAGGCAGATCATGAGTGATCTTGTCTGCTAAGTAAACTTTTTCCTCTAGAGACCCAAAAAGAATTTTGAGAAAGGAAGCAACATTATAAGATTTATACTAGTGGCCTGGTGCATGAAATCGTGCACATTAAAAGGGGACTAATTAGAGGAAATATTTTAATATTGCTATTTGCCCATTCTCTATAATAGAAGTGTAAGAGGTGAAAGAAAATTAGTAAAATGTATATGAAAATCTTTCTCCTGTCAGAGTCTGGGGCACACCACAGAACCCAGAGTCAAGTCCTCGCCCACCCACGTGCACCTCAATATCATATGAGACCCAGACCTGGCTGGCCTGGCGCCGGGAGAGGGGACACAGCCTCACGTCCCTGCTGATTGCTCATTAAGGCTCATTACGGGAACTTGGCCTCTGCTGTGGGCGTAGCCATCTTGTGTTACACCACCCCCCACCTCCGCTGTGGGCACTGCCATCTTTGTGGCAGACTGATGGTCAATTTGCATATTCCCTCTGTATTATATAGGATGTTATTTGAAGAGCAAAAACTGGTGCGAATTATAAGCAGACTATTGCAGAATTCAGACAAGAGAAGGTAAATGCCTAGCAGTGGAGATAGCTCTGAGAGCTACTTAAGAGATAAAGTCAGAAGACTGTCGACTGACTACATAGAACAGGGGTCCTCAAACTACGGCCCGCGGGCCACGTGCAAATACAAATATTGTAGTTTGAGGACCCCTGACATAGAAGATGGAAACTAGGAAGTTTCCTTTGTACAGTTCCTCTTTATTCTTACTTGAATGTGTGTGTGTGTGTGTGTGTGTGTGTGTGTGTAGTTCCCAAGCATGTCTTTCTGACTCTAGTCTCAGTTGATTGTAGTCGAATGCTATGCTTCTAAATACAACTCGTTCTAAAGCCCACATTCAATCTTGCAACTCTTCAGTGACTCCTTGTTCCCCAGAGTGTTTAGTGTTGTTGTTTTTTTTTCTTTTTCTCACCAGGGGCCTAAGATGAGACAAACAGGTTACCTAGTGTGCAGTATCTAAGGATCTTGCACTTGCCTGAACCAGAGAGCACCTCTTCAAATTGTGTACCCTAGGCACCTGTTTGCTTCATCCTAGTTCCTCAGAGCCTTAGTTTGACCCTAATTCACTCCTCCTACCTCATCTTTTGTAATGCCCAATCAAATACGTTGTCCTTAAATTATTCTAATCTACAACCCATTTTCCTGAAAGGGAAACCATTTGCTCTCCTATTTAATGCTGCTTTCCCTAATCCTAATTCTAACCTTAAGGTTAGAATGCCCTTTTGAAAAAAAAAAAAGATTAAAAAAAAAAGAATAATTGCAGCTTGGTTTGAAATTTGTAATGTTTCTATCATTAATAAAGTTATGGCTTCTTGTGGGGTGAAAAAATAATAAATTATACATTGTAATGTCATACAGTTGACCTTTGAAAAATATAGGGATTAGGGTTCCCAACCCCCATGCAGTTTAAAATCTAGGTATGACTTTTGATTCCCCAAGAACTTAACTACAGTCATTTCTCAATATCTGAGAGGGTTTGGTTCCAGGACTTCCCCCAAGCCCAAACATCTGTGGGAATAGGGAACCCGCAGATGCTCAAGTCCCTTATAAAAATGCATAAAACAATGCATACAGACATGTCTCCACATTCATGATATCTCAATTTTGGATTGAAAATACTGTTGGTTGAATCCAGGGATGCAAAACCTGAGGACAAGGTGGACCAACTGCATTGAAAAACATCCATGTCTAAGTGTAAACTTGCAGTTCAAACTCATGTTGTTCAAGGATTAACTGCATTGTATATTGCAATAATATGTTCACGTTTCCATTCTTCTTACTCATCCTAGTATCCCAGTATTCAGCATATGGCACAATGTAGGGAATGGACAAATCAATAAACCTGCTATTAAAAATATGAATGAATGTGAAAATATGAAAGAAATAGAAAATATATTTTCTAATTTGGGGAGACAGTAATGTTCTCACACTTTTCAAAATGTTCATTATTTAAGTATGTAGACAGCAGATGCATGCAGCTCTTTTCATTTTATTAAGTTTAGAAATAGCACATGTTTTTTCATACTTTAGAAATGTTATTTCTAAAGGTGCAAAATAGGAAATCTTGTTTCTATGTTATTGTTCTTTATATTAAAGTAAGTTCAGAATAAACTTATTTACCTAAGCTCTTACTAGAAAAACATCTATATTATTTACTACTTATTTTACTTTTTTATATAAATGCGTCCCAATGGAATGCATGCCTGTTATTGGAGCAACACAACATTTTGACTCCTACTGACGCAGCGCAGGGAGAACATCCTTTAGATCATTCTCTGGCCTCAGATCTCTAGCCTTTACTATTTTCATAATCTCTTTAAACCTTGATTTTTTAACCTAAGAAGTGGCAATAGCCTGGCCAGTGTGGCTCAGTGGTTTGAGCGTTGACCTATGAACAAGGAGGTCACAGTTCGATTCCCAGTCAGGGCACATGCCTGGGTTTCGGGCTGGATCCCTAGTGCGGAGGCTGCAGGAGGCAGTCAATCAATGATTCTCTCTCATCGTTGATGTTTCTATCTCTCTCTCCCTTTCCCTTCCTCTCTGAAATCAATAAAAGTATTTTTTTTAAAGAAATGGCAATAATAATTTTGGCGGGTAACAGCTTAATGGAGATATAACTCACATACTTTACAATTCACACATTAAAGTATACAATTTAATATTTTACTATATTTACAGATTTGTACCACAGTCTAAAAAGTAGTCCCATACTCTTTAGCAGTCACCTCCATTTCCTCCCAACCCTTCTAGCCTGAGGCAATCACTAACCTATTTTCTATCTCAATAGATCTACTTATTCTGGATATTTCATATCAATACAATCATACAATACGTAATCTTCTACGACTAACTTTTTTACATAGCATGTTTTTAAGTTTCATCCATTTTGTAGCCTGTACCAGTACTACACTCCTTCAGATGGTCAAATAAATTTCCATATATGAACATACCACATTTTATTTATCAATTCATTAGTTGACAAACATTTGGGTTGTTTTCACGTTTTAGCCATTATGAATAATGTTGCTATGCACATTCATATATAAGCTTTTATGTAGCTGTATGTTCTCATTTCTCTTGGGTATTATCTAGAAGAGGAATTGGATCATATATTTAACATTTTAAGGACCCGAATCTGCAATATCTGGATATGTGTATAGAATAGATGTTTTAAATTAGCATCTAGAACCATACTCTAAATAGTGGATACCTTGGTTAGCTTAGTTTTGACGTGTAGAAGAGTCCTGTCAAATACTTTTGGGTGAGTGATGAAACAGAGATACAATAGTCAGTATAAGCCCTATGGCATTGTGTGGATTTGAAAGGAGACTCTAGGTTACTTCTGGGGACTCTGCCAGGTTTTAGCGGTTAATCAAAAAAGTAATTGGAAAAAAAAAAGTAATTGGATATATGAATTACCTAAAAGAATTCATCTACTTAGGTGATGTAATTGTTTTTAACTTCTCAAAGTGCTAGATTTTGGTCAGGCTTAATGTTGTTACTTGATAAGTGCTGTTTCCACCAATAATTCATGAAGTACATTGACCATATATTGTCTCAGCTGGAGCGAGCAGTGATCCTAAATAAAATATTAAATACACCCAATCGGTGCAATTAAATCTGACTTTGGCACCTTCTGCCTGTAGGCCCACTCCAAAATGCTGGCTCTTTCAGGGCCTCTCTGTGTGCTCCTAATGACTGCTCGCCTTACTGGGGACCTCTCTCTGTTTCCTTTCTGAACAGTAGGAAAACTATTTGTGGCTATAACCACTGGTCCACTTAGCTTTGGGTTTGGAAATACAGCTTTTTAAGATAATTCAAGCCTGGCTACCTTCGGTGGCATTTACATGGCCCACAGGAAAACTTTTCTTGCAAAACTGCAAGTACACTCCACTTCCGCTGCAATCTTCTCTCTCTGTTCTGCCATCAAAGGCCTCTTTGAACAGTCTATTGCCTTTATACATATACACTTTTCCACGTGACATAAACTAGGGCATAGACGTCAAGTTGTTGGAGTTTCTTAAGGCTCCTTCAGTTGGCTTGAGGAAGGGGTAGGATGGGATAAACACTTTTCTCTACCCTCTTGGGGAAGGGGAAGGAAAATGCACAGCACTCCAGAAAACTACTTCCTGGGCATTTTCATTCTCTAGTATTTTTTTTCATCAATTCTGCCATTTCATTCCCTGGAAGTACATGAGGATGGAGGATTGCTAAATGGCCTTCGCATTCTCCTAGCATATTCTGGATTCTCTAGCATCCTTTTTTAGAAGGCACTTGGCATCTATTTTTCTCAACTACGGAGCTGCTGCCAAAAGACATGGAAAAAGTCCCACTTAAAATGTCATGTACCTTAAAAGTATTTGCCAAGATTGTTCTAAGTTCTTAACCATTTTATAGGTATAATTGAACCCTTTGACATTCTGGTAAAGCCTATGGACCCCCTTCTCAAAGTAATGTTTCTATATGCATAAGACAAAACATATAGAATTACAAAGGAAACCAATTATATGGAAACTAGAGACCCAGTGCATGACATTCATGCACTGGAGGGCGAGGGATCTCTCAGCCCGGCATGTTCCTTCTCACAGCCTGGGACCTTTCGGGGGTCCTTATTGCTGCCATGGAGGCGAGAGGGACTCCTGCCACTGTCACTGCACTCACCAGCCATAAGCCCAGCTTCTGGCTGAGTGGTGCTCACCCTGTGGGAGCGCACTGACTTCCCCCCACCGCTGCTGCACTTGCCAGCAGTAAGCACAGCTTCTGGCTGAGCAGTGCTCCCTCTGTGGGAGCGCACTGAGGGAGCCACCAGGGGGCAGCTCCTACATTGAGCATCTGTCCGCTGGTGGTCAGTGTGCATCATAGTGACCAGACATTCAGCCATTTGGTCGATTTGCAAATTAGCCTTTTATTATATAGGATAGAGTTTTATCCTTGGAATCTATGGAGATACAAATAATCCAAGTTAAAATTTTTCATAAGCATCTTAGTGCTTTATACTTATTACTAGGGGCCTGTTGCACGAAGATTCGTGCACGGGCGGGGGTTGGAGGTGTCCCTCAGTCTGACCTGCACCCTCTCCAATCTGGGAGCCCTCAGGGGAGCCCTCTCCAATCCAGGAGTTTCTGTCTGTCTTTGCAATCATATGAGCGAATTGTCTGAGACCCCCAACCCAGTTTGGTTTGTTGCTCGCAGAATAATAGTGGCATTTTTTTTTTCTTTGCTTCATTGTTGGAGATTTCCTGGAAGTTTTAGGATATCTTCCCTTTAATTTTTCCTAGACACTCTGATTTTACTTATGTCTCTCACCTTTGATTTCTCTCCATCCCCCACCACAATAGTAACTTGCTCCAGGCTCACTTTGCTCTAGTGCAGTGGTTCTCAACCTTCAAATACAGTTCCTCATGTTGTGACCCAACCATAAAATTATTTTCGTTGCTACTTCATAACTGTAATGTTGCTACTGTTATGAATCGTAATGTAAATATCTGATATGCAGGATGGTCTTAGGCAACCCCTGTGAAAGGGTTGTTCGACCCCCAAAGGGGTCGCGACCCACAGGTTGAGAACCACTGGTTTAGGAGAGCCGTCTGCCACCAGAACTATGATTTGCAGCATTCCTGGTGCTCCTTGCTCTCTGGGCTTCTGCTTCAGGTCCTGGGGCTGCCACTAGAAATACTATTCCCATAATTCCTGGTGCTTCCCGCACTCTTGGTTTTCCCTTCCTGCTGTGTCTCCATCCCATGGCCTCCCACTCTGCCAATTCCTCCAAGCTTCCAGCGTTCCTTCTCTGCTCTCCATCTGGTGCCTTGGGGAGCCAAGGTCCCCAAGCCGCTCCACTCTCCGCCAGCTCTCCCGCTCTGCTCTCTGCCCAGTGGCTTGGCTCCCTCAGTTGCTGGGAGAGACCGAGGGAGCCACGTTCCCCCACGCCTTCAGCTCTCCTGCTCTGCTCTCTGCCCGGCGCCTGTGTATGCAAATTCACCCACCATCTTTCTTGGGTTAATTTGCATACTCACTCCTGATTGGCTGGTGGGCATCGTGGAGGTACAGTCAAGTTATATGTTTCTCTTTTATTATATAGGATTACATTTATCTTCCCAACACACCAATGAGGAAGCTGAGGTTAAGTACCTTGCCTAAGACCACATACTTAGTATGTAACAGAAAATGTATATATATATAATCTCCCCCGCAAAATGTATACACACTTTAACAGCTGATAACTCAATTTTTTTTCCTGATAGCTCAGTTTTGAAAATGAAATGTATTTTAATAAACACTGCCTTTATAATTGTTCAAAGTGTGTATACATTTTTTGAGAACTTTATATGTATGTATATATGTAATGTATACAATTTTTTTAAAATACTGTATAAGTATGTGTTTATGTGCATTTTTCTGAGGGAGAGGCCCCATAGTTTTCACCAAATTCACAGAATGGTCCTAGTTCCACAAAAGGTTATGAACTACAATACTAGCTCTTTTTAAAAAATATATATATATTTTGTTGATTTTTTTACAGAGAGGAAAAGAGAAGGATAGAGAGTTAGAAACATTGATCAGTGGCCTCCTGCACACCTCCCACGGGGGATGTGCGTGCAACCAAGGTACATGCCTATGACCAGAACCGAGCCTGGGACCTTTCAGTCCGCAGGCCGACGACCTATCCACTGAGCCAAACCAGCCAGGGCCAATACTAGCTCTTGACAGCATTATAACAAGATGTAATTCTTCTAATCTAATTTCTACATTCATCTGGCAAAGGCGGGGGTGGGGGGCAGAGAGTCTACCCTCAACAAAAATGGCGGGAGCTGCTTCACACGTAGCCCCTCACGCAGACAGAATAGCCGCCCCGCCGCTTTCTCTTCACCTTCCCACTCCTGACCCCGGAAGGACTCCGCCCTCCCGGCC